GGGATTCCACACACCGCCAGGAGAGGGGGGGGGGGGGGGCGTGCAAATGTGTATGTGGCTGTGTGTGTGCGTGTGTGTGTGTGGCTGTGCGTGTGGCTGTGTGTGTGTGACTGTGTGCTTTAGGTGGTGCACGCGCGATTGCGTGCGCAAGTATACGAAATGGTGAATGGGGTCGAGAGGCAAGGCAAGGCAAGAGATGAGTGAAGTAAGGTGGTGCAAGTACGGCCTGAAGGGTGGGGGCGCACTTCCCCAAGAATCAGTCGCGATCCCGATGCTTCGGCTCGGCCTCAATCGCCCCCTCCGGGACCGAGGGCAAGTGAAGGCTTTCACATGGCTGTCGGCGAATGGCACCGTGGTCTTGGAGTTGTTCGGTCGTGGACAGGGTCGCGCTGTGAGATGACAATGGAGATCCGGCGCGAGGGCCGGGCCAGCGAACCCGTCGACCACACGCCAAGCCCGCCCGGGGTGCACCCGTGCGCAAGTTGGGATTCCGCCGGCCGATCGTAGGCGCCCACAATTCTCGCCCACTCCGCCGCGCATTTGAGCCCGGATTGCAAATGCAGACGGATGGACGAGCAAACGACCCGACAAGCAAATCGGCACACGAACCCCCCCCCCCCCCCCCCCCCCACCCACGTGCACCTTTTCCAGAGGGAAGTGGAAAGATCCTGACTGCCTCTCTGCGCCCACTAGCCTCGGTCGCGCAGATGCCCGTGCTCGATCGGCCTCTGCACGGCCCCTGAGAAGGGGGACATTACGCGACTCGAGGAGTGGAGTGCCCCCTTGTGAACGGAACCCGCCCGGGGTTGAATATCGCCGCCCGGGCGGGAATGTGAATATCCGGATGGAAAACCACTTGAGAAGAAGAGTGCCCGAAAACACCGGAGACGATGAGAGCCCCGGCTGAGGGGAGCATACGCAGTAGGGTCTTCCCCCCCCCTCCCCCCTCCCCCCGAGCAAGAAGTGCGCCCCGGGGCGAGCGCCGTACACGACTCGCCCGCGCATCTCCGATGAGAGGCGGGGCGCAGGCATGCACATTCGAAACAAAGAAGGGGCAGATCGGGGGCCAGACACTAAAGGCTATCAGCCGCAGCTGGGCACGATCGGGCATGTGATATGTGTTCTGATATGCCAGTACGGCGGCGCTGAGATCGAGAGAGAGAGAGAGAGAGAGAGAGAGAGAGAGAGAGAGAGAGAGAGAGAGA